ACAGGCAGCTTCAAGCTGCAGAAAGAAAGAAGCACGCAGGACAGCCCTTCAAATAACAAAGGGACACAAACCCTCACTCTGCTTCTACCTGATTTGCACCTCACTCCATTCTGTCAAGCAGGACAAAGGAAGACACAACACAGGACAACCACGTTCAGAGGAGGCCGTACCTCACTAGCAATGTCTCTGGAAGCCTTGGCGTGTTTGATGGGAATGGCGTCAGCTCTTAGGTCATAGTTCTTCGCTTTGGCCTCATCCCAGGCCTTCTGATAATGTTTCTGCAAAGTAAATTGGTCAACCATGTTACATCCAGCCAGGACTCTGTGAAATGATGGTTTTCTTAATACCTAGTCTCTTGAGCTTCATCCCTTGGATGTTTTTTGTGTCTCCTGTAACAGGCAAGTTGTAATAATGATCCTTGCAAGTGCCCTAGCAGAAACCTCAGAACTCAGAGTTCAAAGAAGGCACAAAACTCAAAACATGAGGCTACAGTGGATACATTATTGAAAACACATCACAAGATCATGTTGAAGTCTACTGCTGACCACGTGTATGACCTCTCCCTATAGCCCCCACATGGGCTGTCACACTGGTAGATTTGTGCACCTTCATGACCTGTACTGAATTCTGTAAGGCCCTGATGTGGCCAGACATTCTATTCACATACACAGCCAATTGCAGGAGCAGAGTTACTGGAAACAAAATATCCGTTCTTCTGACAAAATAAATCCAAACCCTACTGAGCTTTGAAGCCTCCTACACCTGCTGGACTTCTTTATTGTTCTTTTCCTAGCCAAACCAAAGAAGTTAGTGAGGGCAAAGAGTCTTAGTCCATTTACAAGACTGAACAGAAACTGAAGTGTCTCCATATGTCCATAAAGACCCATGCTATCCAGGACATCAAGCACAAAAACACCAGGGCTCGTGGCCCACAGAAGCTTGATCATCCCATCTGAACTTGATGTCATTAGAATGGTTTGATAAACAGTGTGCTTTGTAGTTCTCTGATGACTGTGAAGAATCAGAAACTAAAGGTTATTGCAAATCAAACCACAAGGAATTCTTACATTGCTGATGTTCAGAGCGTTGAGTTTTGACTGCAGCATCTCAGGAGTGTCAGAAGGTATGGAAATCTGTGTCTTGTCTTTGTCCCAGACCTCACGGTACAGATGCTAAGGAGAAAGGAAGCATAATGACATTTCACTATGGCCTGAACAGTTTAAAAAAAGAAAAAAAAAAAAAAAAAAAAAAAAAAACAACAACCCTTGTGGAAATTATTTAGTAATGTTCATTTCATTTGTTTCAAATTACTCATTATCTTGATAGAAATTGTAGTCTCTAACAAAGAAATAACGACGTGTGAATGAAAAGTAAGCAAAACAAAAGCTTACATTACTGAGTTGCATAGCATTGATCTTAGCCTGGACAATATCTGGTGAATCAGTTATGCTGGTGAATTTTATCTGGTCCGGCAGTGTGCGGTACAACCTGTCACTCAGAATTTCCTGGGCTTTCTTGGCTTTGACCACATCCACAGAACCTTCCGCCAGCCAGCCAATACCTCGTAACCACTCCAGGTCTGACTTGTACACATTCTGCAAATAAACCAAGGGTTACTGCCACTGCAGAGACAACTTTGAGTATAGAGAGCTTATGCATGTACAAGGCTTTCCCCAAACTCCTCCTCCAGAAGTTACACAACAAGCAGTCAGCACTGAGATTGTAGACAAACAAATCCTTTACAGACACAGCTATGACTTTCCTTCACTTTGTAACCAAATTAACCATCTTTTAAAAATGCAGGATGATCCAAATGAATTTTAAAAACATCATAAAGGAACTGACTGCACATTCATGAAAAGATCCTTGAGATTTTATCAGCAGAGTGACAAGAAGAGGCTTACACAACTTTGTGAAAGCTTTCCTACAATTACTCCCACTCACATCACTCTGTAGGTCGTAGGCTTTCCTCGCGTGCACCACATCATTGTGGTCAGGCAGACACGTCCATTGGTGAAGGTGATGGCGGTAGTCAACATCACTGACAAGAGTCTGGCACTCCTTGGCTGCCTGCAGTGACATTGCATCCACTGGCATGTGGATCTGGGCCTTCGAGTCGTTGTACGCCTTCCTGTAAATGCGGTCATTCTGCAGCAACATGGCTCGTGCAGCCCACGTCAGCTTGGGATCCTCCTTGGCGGTTCGGCACCCGATGTAGTGCCCTTTCTGCTTCTCGTGAGCCTCCTTGTACTTGTACTAAGGAATTATAAAAGGAGTATAATAAGATATTGATCATGCATTGGTCATGAAAGATTTTTTTTTTTTAAATGTACTACATAGATAGTATATTATTCATACTTTGGAAACATATATAGTGCTTTCTTGTTGCATGATTTTTACTAAATTCATAGTCATTATGATTTCCTAATATCTGTTTAATATCAGGAACTGCAATGCAATTTTTCTTTTGAAATCTATATCTGTTGTCCCTTTACTTTGAATTCTATGCCAGTAAGCTTTTTCATACAGAATATACCATACTTTTTTAGTGTCTCATGTAGCTTTTCACTTGATTCCTATTTCACAAATAGACAACATATGTAAAGGAAGTACATACATCACTCGCAATGTCTCTTGATGCCTTTGCACTTCGAATTGGAATTGCATCAGCTCTCATGTCATAACCCTTCTTTTTGGCATCTTCCCAGGCTTGTATATAATGTTTCTACATAAAAGAAGACAGAAAACAGCTTCTGAGTATTCATAATGGTGGAACTTCTACATCACATATTCTTTCTGAAAATTTTAGTGAAAATATGTTTTATATAATCGTTACGGTGAAAGAAATGCTTACTTAATATCCCTATTTCCATTAAGGTATTATATGTTTAAATATTCTTACATGGCTAACATTAGCTGCGTTGGCCTTTGCTAATAAAATAGTTGGAGTGTCAGGCATGACGTGAATCGACGTTTTGTCTGCATCCCAGGCTTCTGTATATAAACGCTACAGGAGAGAAAAAGAGATTTTTTTTAAGCAGCTTAACTATGTAATGATGACAAAACTGCAAGCTTGATATTAGCATTCACCAAAAATGTATCTATTTATGATATAAAAGAAATGAAGGCTTGATGGAGAGCAAGGTATATATATAACCAAACTAATATATTTTGTCCAAAGAAAGTACTTTACAAACTTTCACATGGTTCAAGTAGCCTTCAATAACCTGATATAGTAAAGGTTCTCATAGAACTGCTTAAGTAGGAAACTTCGTTCTTCCTTCCAATTTCCTTTGGACCAGCAAATTATTGACTTAAGGTTGCTAGGAAAATGCTGTTCAGTTCTTATTTCTGTATTTTTCACCTTATCAACAAGTCCAGTCAATAAGCAACACCAGTTGTAGTAACACACAAACTCACCTTGTTCATTATCTCAGCATTATGCTTGGCTAACATCATAGCCAAAGAATCTGTCACACTAGTAAATTTGATTTGGTCAGCTGGTTGACGATACTTCCTCTCACTCAGGATTTCTCCAGCTTTCTTAGCCTTCTCAACGTCCAATGAGCCAATAGGAACCCATCCAATTCCCTTCAGCCATTCCAGGTCGGATTTATAAACAGCCTGAAAATTTTTGAAAGTTCATCATATAATTATTTTAATACTGTACTTGGAAATACAAGTAATTATATCACAATAGGATTTTAAGTATTTCTGCGTATTAGCAGCATATGGTTTTTCAACCAACTTAAATTTTTGAACAAAATATTTTATCTTTAAATAACGAGAAGAGAGTCATTGAAGATCTCCACACATGCCAGAGTTAGAAAAAAATTATATCTCAGGTTAAAGACAGAGAAAATAGAATTAAATGTAACAATGACAGCGTACTAAATGCTTCACTACGAAGAACACATGCAATACAAGTGGCTAAGCCACATTTTATACAAAGTATTAGGTACAAAACCCAGTATATTTAATTACTTATTATGAATTCAACAATTTACTCACATCACTCTGCAGATCATAGGCCTTCTTAGCATGGATAACATCGTTCTGGTCTGGCAGGCAGATCCACTGATGCAGATAGTGGCGGTAATCAACATCACTAACCAGCTCCTGACATTTCTTGGCCAACACAATTCCCAGCATGTCCACGGGGCTGCTGAAGTGCGTCTTGGTCTTCTCAAAGGCTTTCTTGTACTCCCTGTCACTCTGGATCTTGGCTACGTGCATCGACCACATCATCTTCGGATCGTCCTCTATGTTGCGGGCTCCAATGTGGTGGCCAAGCTGCTTGCGGTACCCTTCCTTATATTTGTACTGAAATAAAGTAAGGTCGTATTTTGTATGGTATAAATATCAATTAATAGATGACACACGTAGATTAACATATTTTTTAACATAATTACTAATATTTTCATGCGACTCAGACCTCCCTACTATATCATTAACTTTCACATAAGTTGTTGTTTGTTTTTTTTTAACAGGTATTATTTTTTATTTTAATACAGATATCTGTCCTGATTTCATCTGGGAGAGAGGTAATATTCTTCATAGTTAAGCCACAACACTGTAAGACATACACACTTAATATTTAATGCCACATCCTAGCTAATAAGTCTGATATTCAACATTGGTTTGATGTTAAGATTAGAATGTAATGATTAACTTATTGGTAAGGTTTATCATTGGACACCATGATGAAGTGGTCTTTACATGTTTACATGAGGTGGTCTTTAAACTAATTATCAATCTTCATGGAAAAACAAGTAACATATAAGTATTATCCTCCGTTCTAGAGATGTTTCCTCATCAGGAAACAGCATATTTTATAATACTGTTTTTGTGTTCAGACATTTTAAATTTCAGTACATTCCAACATAATTATTTTTTTTCCTCAGAAAACAACAAAAATTTAGAACTTTTAGCATTAATTTTCTAACATATATATATTCTGGGTAGAAATTTTACAGTATTACCTAGTTTGAAACAGAAATGAACTTGGTTAACTACACCATGGAATCATACACCTTACTGGGTATTCTACTTCAACATCTATGAGCATGCAATAGAACTACTATAGTGAACACAGATCTGCCCTTTGCATTATTTTGCCTACTGATTACTACTATGTCTTTCTCATGCATAAAAATACAGACTGTCCATTCCTTCTATGTACTATGGCATGCAATAGAATTATAGTATTTCAGTATTATCTATTCTACACTCAAGATATTACATTAGTAACCAAGGGAACAATCATTTCAATTCTTTTGCTTTAACAAATCCATAAAGGTATGAGGAAAAAAATAAACTGCTTACATCACTGGCAATCTCTCTGGATGCTTTGGCAGCTTGGATAGGAATGGCATCAAAACGCAAGTCATGACCCTTCTTCTTTGATTCCTCCAAAGCTAGTCTGTACATTTTCTGTAAGAAAAAAAATGGTTTCAGTAATCAGAAAATTTACACACTTCAGTTAAACACACCTGCATTAAAAAAAAAAATTATGTTCTTAAATGATATTGTTAATGTTCAGATAGCTTGAATATCTCAACACAGCTCTATCTTCTGTAGAAAGTAGAAAATAAAAATTAAAAAAAAACAGATTTCAAAGATTTTCTGTTTTTCATAACAGACACTTGGAAACTAGAAGTCATCCAGGGAAGGGAAAGAAATACTTTAAAACTTAAATTATTTATTTCCATACTCTGCTATAAAACTGATTACTAGTTTATGGTAGAAAATATATTTTAGAAGAACATCAGATGCCTAGGAGATAAATTCCAGTAAAAGAACAACTTTGAAGTAAATAGCATAGTTGGCCACTTGTGAAATCAAACAACTTGACAACAATATAATATTAAGTGAAGTTCAGAAGTAAAAAAATTGAACTTTCTCAGCTCTTCAGATTTACTCACCTGACTGTAGTGTGCTTGGTTTTGTTTAGCTAGCATGATTTCAGGTGTGTCAGGCATGACATGGATTGTGGTCTTATCTTTATTCCACGCTTCAGTGTATAAACGCTAAGAATATAGGAAAAAGAGTAATGTTGCATTGCAGTACAAGGTCAATTTTCATTAATTAGCTAAAATACAGTATTAGGTAAAATTAAAGGAAAGAGAAAGAATAAATGCCTACACATTTAATCAGAATTAAATACCAAATTCTCCCTGTAAAGAGAATTTAACTGAGGAAATTCAGGGTAGAAACACGGAATCACAGAAACAGAATGGCTAAAAATGGACAGGACCCCCAAAGGTCATCTGTTCCAACTCCCTGCTCAAATACAGCCATCTAGAGCCTACAGAATAGTAACATTAATTAAGAATAACAAAGAAAGCAAAGTACTCTTACTGCTCACTACATAGACCACATAAGAGAAAAGATTTAAGTGTAACATGTGGAAAATCTCAAGGTAAAACTTTTGTTACATGGCTTTAAGAGAAATACACAGAACACAGTATTTGAAACGAACATTATATCTGAACTTCAGCATTATTTGTGACCATGTTACTTCTAGTCTTCTGTCTCCAAGGGTTAGCAGGAGAATGCCAATACATTGCTAAACTGAATCAGGACTCACCTTATTCATCACCTCTGCATTATGCTTAGCTAAGTTCATCTCCAGAGAATCAGTAACACTCGTAAACTTGATGGTGTCTGGAGGCTGACGGTAGACTTTGTCACTCAAGATCTGTCCTGCCCTCTTGGCTTTTTCAATATCCAAGGAACCAATGGGGACCCAACCAATGCCACGCATCCACTCAAGGTCTGACTTGTAGAAATTCTATTACAAAAAAAAAAAGAAAAAAACAAATACAACCAAATGAGAAATTCTAATAACGTCATTTACACAACACATCTTTTCACAAGTGTTTAAGTAAATTCATCA